CTGGTGTTACTTATTAGGAATCCTTACCATAAATTCTAAGTACCAGGTCAGGTCCAAAGGTGTACGGGCAGTGCTGCTAGATACTCACGGAAGCGAAAAATTGTGTTCCAGTCAGAAGCATATGAGAAGGAAATGTGATCACCGGAACAATTGTGCCATATTCTCATTCGAATCCATCATCACATATGATGACACTCAAGGAAAACCGTATCGATAAGACACAGCTGTCATGGAATCACATATTAATACGGTCACAAAAACTGGTCAAAGTTGATTCTGCGCATTATTCAGACTTATAAATGCGGCTGGTATTAACTCTTAACGTCAGTTATCACTGAATATAAGGTCCTTTCCGGTTTACCCCGATTTGCTGTTTTGAAAATGAAATTGGATATTAAGAGGGCTGATTACTATAAGTGTTATTGTCATCCTTGAATTCCGTGTCCAGGACAAACCATGAATTAACGCAGACCACATTTTTTTAGAGACTGCTTCACTGTATGCTCTGTGAACTGACAACGGTGCTACACATCCGGACTGCCGGCATGGCACACAAACAGTTCCATTGAAATGTTGAAAGTACTTACACTGATGCATCCTTGTCCTTGCATCTTTGGACAATTTATCTCAGTGTGAAGGAGTTTCAAGTGGTTGATGAAGAGTCTCAGTGCATTTGGCAGGCTGTTGCCAACAGATCTGAAGCAAAAATGGGTTGGAGTTGAGTGAGAAAGAAAACAAAATCGAAGCAGAACCTACATTATCCCCAAATTTTCCTGCTTCAGTTCACTGAAGAGAGTGAACGCAGAGCCGTTCTTCTCCTAAAACGAAAAGGGAGCGGAATTTACCGATCTTAGGCGTTCTATAGTTCAGAATGATGAGTCAAATAAAATATAGCTCATAAGTCAGTTCGGAACCTGTCTTTCTGCGACCAAACATTGGCCAGGAAGCATTTGTTTGCTCCCTTTGAGGTCGCACTTAATCGTAGTTTCGTGTAGAGGGTCAGTGCTAGTATAATTAAGGACTTCCCCGGTTCCTAGGTCTTCTCATTAAAACTAAGGAGGAGTGATTGCATTCCACCGTCACACACACCAGTAGTTAACCCAAAAGCACATTGTGATCGCTATGGATCTGACCCATTCCCTTTAATTATGAGAAAGTCACGATACAACAAGGAATTTCATTGGCCAAAAACGTTATCCTCGTCTTAAATATTTCGTCTGAGTACTCAATGGGTGATTTACTTCGAGAACGTCCGTCGTTAGCAATACCTTTTTAAATCTTACAGCCTTAAAAAATCTAAATACCGATTGTGACAAGTAAGTGAGGGCATCTCTAAAATTGTCTTTCGACCATGATGTCATATTTGTCAGGCAAGTTACGTCAGATGCTCCGGCAGACGAATCTGAACGCGCCTGAATAACGCATTAAGGTAGTTGAACAGGTGGTCCTTACTGGAGGAACAGAGCTTTTTGTTATGCACATACAAGTGAATAAAAACATGGCCAAGAAAGCATTTGGGAGCTGCCACAAAAGCTCTGGGCGCGTAAATCGTCACGGGTCCCGCGTGATGGCATACTATGACCACACCAAAGTCGATGGAGCCGTGGGATCTGGGGCAGTTACTGTGGCCTAAGTAGTATTCGTACTCGGAGTACTAAAATCATCAGGCCGCATCTCGAGACATTGAAAAAGATAAAAAAAGAAAGTTCGTGTGTGCAGAACTCCGATTTGCAGTTTCATGCAGCATTGACTGCCTGAGAGAGAGAGTGGTTCTAGCTGCTTTATATGCTTGTGTAGCGATTTAAAGTGATGTGTTGCATTGTGTGTACAGTGGCCCATTCTGCTTCGGCCAAGAGATGGCGTTTTCAATTGACCCTCAAGCAGCCGCGACTTTTTGTACCCACGTGTGTGTGTGTCCGAGTGGAAGTCGGTGAAGAGTCAGCGAGTCGGAAAGTGTAAGTGACCTTGAGGCAGCGGCCTTGAAAAACAACACACCAAGGTTCAACCACAACAGCCCCAGTCCAGACCATTGGGTGGCAATTGGCGCCACTGAAGCCTTCTCGATCGACATCCTTTCGTAGCTTTCCTGAGCGTAGCCGTATCCTACAGAATTTTACACGGTTCTTTTCCCGTTTGACACCACAATCTTCTGGTTAGCCGAGCCATTTCTAACAACCCTTTTGTGTGAATGGAGGCAAGAAGAGACCCTGAATTAATATCTGTGTAAGTTAGTTAGATATCGACTCCAACTGCACCAGCGCCCTCTTCCGCCTCCGGCTTACTTCCCTTGGTACAGGCCTAGGTGGGGAATGGAGAGAGTGCGGTAGATGCTCGCAAGTCTACCCTCATTATTATCAAAGTCCCGCACAAATTACCGAAATGCCTTCAGTCTTATTAAAGCAAACCGTGTGCACATTGTTAAAATCGAAGGTCGAACTTTCAGACGGTCAGTGGCATTCTGTTGCGATTATAGAAACCAGAATGCTTTTATCTGTGCACCGAGGAAGGACCCAAAAATCACCACAACCGTGTGGACTTACGTGCAAACTGAATCCGATGCCAAGAGCGCAGCATATGCGCAGAAGTACAGGATACTGAATGAGTGCCAGACAGGAATGATTAAGATTGGCACTGACAACAGCGTAAAGTTGCAACTTCCGAATCTGCAGAGTGGATATAAGAAATATATAAACCTAAATACGCCTAATAAAATGCATATGGTAGTTATTTCAGCAGATCATCTAAGGTTGGCGAGCAACGTAACGTTTACTAAAACGTGTTGCACTTCAGGACTGAAGGAAATGGGTTGACTTGTCTATAAATACGGGGATGAATAAATTATTCTCGAGCTGTATCCCTGACCAGAAGAAGACACCCCAGTGGATTAAAGGCCGTCAACTTGACAGCTTTAAATACGTCGAGATGAGGCTGGTACCAAATGAACCGAGTAAGTACGACATTGTATCCCGAATCGATGCTGCTCGCCGAGTTTTCTCAACCCTCCGAAAGCGCCTATGGATCCCACGCGACATTTCCATCGCCCGAAGATAC